TTGTTTATGTATTTGTTTTTAACATTAACTTTAAGGTATCATCGAGAATAACCTCCGGAAGGCTAACTGGTCTAGCTTGTCATCTGTCCCTTACTATTTAAAAAAATTAGTAGCAGTTGAGGGTTATCTTAAAATGTGAACTTGCATAATATTATTTTCCAGGTGATGAGTCAATTCAATCATTAAGAAGTGAAGGAGTGAGGAAAAAGGGAAAGAACTGGTCTTTGGTCAAAGAGACCTCAAATCCTTCTGTTCCTCTACCGCGTTTCTCCTCTTTTAATTTCGATTCGCGCCACAGTCGTCGAGCCGATTGTTGGTCAAATGTTCTAAATACTCTTTCTTGTTTAGGGATTGGGTTAAGAGTCCGCTGGAGTCTTTATTTCGGGAAGCGTGATAATGCATGTGTAAGAACACTACGACTAACATAACTCTCTGCGACATTGTTTATTAATATCCGCTAGCACAGTACAATGATTTAAGTGGCAAAGGTAGTTACAGAATAAAGGGGATTAGGGAATTAGTATTAAATTACCTAGTTACCGAATAGAATGCATTAGGTACATCACAGAAACTGACAAAAACAAATTCTTACAGCATAGACCAACATACACATTACTATCGTAGTGATGAGATTCTCTTGAGTGTATGGTTAAGGTGTCCTCTTAGTTTCAAAGAGTAAGTTCTAATTTGTAAGTTATATCAACCGATTACATTACTTACTAAATGGTTCTCATACATTACTTAAACCTTTTTACATACAATGGAATCATGATTGTTAAGCTCTCAAGCTATAAAAAATAGTTATATTAGAAATTGCCAACCCACTCACTTCTTACGGCACGCAAATCACTATAATACATTAGTATTTACACCACTTTACATACACTGGAATTCTACTTTCTATACTCCATCTAAATTTGCTTTATCGCTACAAAAAAATAAGCGTATTCGCAATCGCCCACTCACTCACTAATTACGGCAGATAAGTTAAACAAACTAATTATTTACGCACTTGTGATATGTAACGGCTGCCACGCCTTTGCTACCGGACATTGATTTGTTATAAGTTTGTTTCGTGTTAAACGTGTTAAACTGCAATAGTGACGTTACTGTTTGTCCATTAGGGACGTGATCTTTAAGTTCCACCCAGAACCGCTTTTTAGTTAGTTATCTTGCGTTGGGCTAACGATAAGACGTGTTTATCGAAAAGCGCCCTTTTGCCCACCTTATCTCGAAGTTTGCTTTGGTCAAACTTTTACAAGCGGGACTGTTATGTAAGTGCTTATGTTCCCTCTCTTCGTACTTGTTTAAACATCTAGTCTTTCGGTAGTTTCGCCCAGTTTTTTAATACCAGTTTCTTTGCAACCTTGTAACACGTGGTTTACGTTGTTCATGCTTTGTTGGTAAGCTGCTCGTTTTTCCCACTCGGTTATTAGTTTTGTTAGAATTCGTTTTCAAGCAGTTCTCCTTTATCCTTGAAGATCGTCTTTTGTGAGTTTGTTTTAAGAGTTTTAGCTAGTCTTTTGAGATCTTGCTTTTATATCGGAATAATGGGAATGTTGCTCCGTATCTTAGAATTTAGCTTAGCTTCTTCCTTATAATTTCATATTTCAGTTTACGATAAGTACTTGGATACCTCGACTACGCTAATAAAACGATTCAAGTCTTTTCCGTACAATATATTATCGCCTCATAGTGCGTCTTCACTAGCGAAACTCATAGTTGTCGTTGAAATTTCCTTCACTTGTGTCGGCCGCTACATGATACGGTATTTACGACATTTTCTATGAAAATTAAATTCTGCTTGCGATGCTCTCTCTAAATTAAAAGTAATCATCATAGCACAACAAACGACTGACTCTGACTTTACCGACATTTAGAAAATTATATCCATTTAAATTGAGGTCAGTACTAATTTTGTTCTTATGAAAGTCTTTCCAGGTAATTTTGTGTTTAATTCCCTGAGTTCTGACCTCTCCTGAAGTCCCACAGTAGTATTTTTTGCTAGTAAATGTAAGACATTTCAAAAAAATTCCAAGGGTCATTTCACAACAAGCAAAAATATTTTGAAAGTTAACGAGAAGACTTTTACTATCGAGTGAATTCTCAACTCTTTTGATTTTCAGCATTTCATGGCACATGTTGGACACTCAGTACCAGTATGATCTGATATGATGGGCAAACTTGTATGTAATGTGAACTCAAAATTCGAAAAGCGATATTTGTGGGAAAATTTTACTCGCTAGTAGAAACAAACCAGTAACAGTCAGTAAGTAATCATTAGAATTCGACTGCATTGCCGAGGGAAGCTTGTGGTTGATTGCATGGCTCAGACTTAGTACATAATAGGAGATGAAACTAAACGTGCCTACAGCGGTAAGAAAAATTCAACAGGTGCAGTGGAACACCCACAATTGAAATACAAATCTTGTGTTAGTCAATAGATCAGGGAAGTCCTGTGCTCGTCATGAACGTCTTTCCAATCTACTTATTCATATACCTTACATGTTAGAGAAGAAAAGGTTCATAGCCATATGCAATAGACATATGTTATTTGCCGGCTGGGAGGTTCGTATAGTGAAAAACTGTGACCTTCCATAAACTGAACAATTTTTGAGCGAGTAAATGGTAGTTAAAATAGAGGTGATGCAAATTAAAGAGAGATGCTTCACCGAAACATTTTTATTTGCATAATTATAAAGGTGATTTAAAAGGCTTTCAAACAAACTTTGAAACATTATTCTTTCTGTCATAATCTGACACCTGTCAATTAGAGAGCGCGTAACAAAAGAAAAAGCGCATGTAAACTTTTGAAACACAATGAAACTAGTTTGGCAAGCACTGTCACGACAATGTTTTCCTCAAAAACAGTCAATGATCTTACGGAAAGTATTATTCACTCTCATCGATGATTAATTCATGTACGAAGATTTACCTCTGTTCATTAAGTAAACAGCGAGGAAAGTAATTGAAAGTAAATTCAAATTTTTTATCTTAAAGTTGGGAGAGTTTTCTCGTTTGTTTGCTGCAATGGCGTGTGTAAATCTGGTCTTTCCTCCATAAAAATTACCCCACGTTTTAACTTTCTAGTTACTTTTTGTGAACGATTAAAATTAATTGCAGACGGTTTTTAGGCCGCTTGTCAACCAACGTATTGAAACTATTGCTTATACAAATTCATTCTGACACCGATATTTTTCTGTCGACCAAAGTGATTTGTATAGGTAATCACATGAGGCCAAGTACTATTAAGGATTAATTGCACGAGAAATTGGAAAATTTTGAAAACTCAAGTGCAATTAATCCTTAATAGTACGAGGTCTCATGGGATTACTTGTTTATCAATAAAGGGCAAAATTTATACGAAGGAAAATCACGCGCGCAGTCGCTATGCAACGGATTAGCCAATCATTAACAGGTAATCATGCCCTCTCTTGATTACTAAAAATGCCCTCGATTAAGAAAAAATTGCTCTCTCTCTCAACCAATCAGCGCTCAGTAATTTTGCCCTTTACTGATAAGAGAGAGAAAAAGAGGATTAATAAGTTAGTTACCGGCTTGAGTTAGTGACCCATATCTTTGCTTAAAAATACTGCCCAGACGGAAAAACGAGATATACTTATGAAAATTGGCAACGAAAGAAGGTATGCACTCTGCGACTCACGAAAGCGTTACCGTTATCCGTGGGCAGGGATTGGAAAATACTGATCGGGTAAAGAACCGATCACATTGCAGGATTCGTTACCGTGCCCTCTAAAAAAAATAATAATAAATCCTGATATCAGAGCATGCCCGTGGGAGGTACACTTTTTCAACCGTGATGAAAACTACAAACAAGGCCTTGAGTGGTACAGGAGTCACATGCCCGAGTCAAGGGAAGATCAGTTACCTGAAAATCTCCTGGCTACTTCACCTCAGACTGTTCCCAGGAGTGTGTACAAGTGGTCAAGAGATGTTAAGCTCTAAGTGATTGTGCAAGATCCTATGGTAAGAGCTACATCAGATTATACACAACTTTTATTGAACAAAAGCAACTCTTTCCTTCCAAAATTTGAGGAATTTGTCACAAAGGAGGTAAGTGTTTTGGCCACTGAAAGAGGTATAGTGAAAAATGAGGTTTATATCAACCACTTACATCAATGGTTAATGTATTTTCCATTTTCATGGATTCACTTTGTCAGTGGAGAAGGTCTTTTCCAAAATACAGCTGATGAGATAAAACCTGTTAAGAAGTTGTTATATCTAGGGCCATTTATCACTGAAAAGAACTTCTATTTCAACGGATCTAAAGGATTCCAAAAAGAACTTCTATTTCAACGGATCTATAGGATTCCCTTGCTGTAAGGAAAAAATTTGATCAGATGGCAAAAAGTGGGGAGACTGTTTAGAGTCTTTAGAGGGATCAAAAGGAAAAAGACATGTCATTTTTAGAAACGAGACTGTAAAATTATTTCAACAATTCTACAGGCCATACAATCATGCTCTGTATAAGGTTGTTGGTAGAGATTTTCATTGGCCTTGATATGAGTCATTCTTCAATAGGCACCACTTCCTCTTGATCAACACAAGTTTCTAACTAGATAGACAACAGAGTTAATTGTTAGATTTGAGTTCAAACCAAACCACACACCACACTTCATTTACTTTTAAATTCTTTAATCGGATTATTTAAGCCAAGGCCCTTTTCTTGAAGGTCCTGGAAACTTAAAGACCTGTAAAGCTGTTCTGTAAATATAAACGTATTCCTAAAATATTCTGGAGTTGTGTAGCAAATAAATGAATGTTGAATCTTTTGTTAACAGCCCATAATCAATATATTTGGATAGAAGGCAGGAAAACTGGCTCTAGTGCATGAAGTTGAGGCTTAAAAATAAACTTTTTTAACTGTCATTTGCAGAAAAATTTTATTGCTTACCTTAAAAACTTTTTGAAAGGAAATTGACACCAAGAGAGAGTGTAAAATTTGAATAGAAAAAGTCATATGGTACAACAGAAAATAGGCCTCAAACCATTTATTCCTTTAATAATTGTTATAAAAGATAAAAGGATTTGGCTCACAGTACTAACAAATAATATTAAATTACACTGGAATTACAGTAATACAAATAATAGAAAACTGCCAACACATTGATTGCAACACTATAATTTAATGTTTTCTTTACCAAAATGCAGTGCATATTGCAATACAGGTTAAAAAGGTTAAGTAACTTGACCATTGCAGAATTGATTACTAACAAAGTATGACAATCCTGCCAAGTTGTATTGACATCAATTCGTAACATGGAGTTACTTTATTACTTACATATTTATATATGATTCAAACAACCATAGGTTGGACAGGTAAAAATGTTTGTTGATTGAGCTACAAAAGCTTTTTTTTCATGTAATTCATTGTGTTTGTCATGACAAGTTACTACTATGTAATTCTATTTTTTTCTGACACAGAAAATATAATTTAACGGTTTTAAAAATATCATTTTTGCACTTACCTGTCACCTATTTTGTAAAAGAGGTAAAAGTACTACTGCTTGCAGTGTTGCTTGATAGGATAATAGAGTTGACCACCCATCCTGTTAGTATTGTAAAAATTATTGTTTTTCATGATCTATAAATGTTTGTCATAACAAAACACATGATCTGTTGCTTTGGTCTTGCTCGCAGTGTGAGTCTTTGCTGTTACTCATCTTAGTGGACTGGTGTTTCTCATCACTGACTGAATTCACATTGACTGAGTTCCCATGTGCTGTCAAAATGATACATCAAAACCATAAGTCTGCTAGTACTGGAAATTATCAAAGTTTTAACTCAGTTGCAAATATCCTACCACCCATTGTTTATCACTCACTTAAATCACCTTTGGGAAAGCTTAATAGATCAAACCCTCCTACTAGTCATAGGGTTAGATAAAAACTACTCACTGTTCAAAATCACCATAACCTGGTTCTAGTAACTCAGCTAAGCAATACTAAACACATCTATCAAACTTATGGGAAGCATTTAACAACAAGCAGACTTTGCTAAAAAAATTATTGAAAGGATGTGCAAATTTGAGCAGACTTGTGATTGAGTGAACTGAACACTACTTAAGTGTATTTGCCCATCTTCATACCATAGAAAACAAAAGATTTTTATTCAATTCAGTACTACAATTTCTAAGAATTTGATATTTCAACAATATAAACATTAGGTTGTCATAAAGGTAAATAGGATGGAATAAAAATATAAATGTTTCTGAGGGAAATATTATTTGGGTCTGTCTTACAACTCCCAAACCTTGCATTTTTGGTTCCAAGCCTTACACTTGGTTGGTGCGCTTCCAAAATGAACACCTTGTTAAGAAAACTTATTCAACACAGGTAATATTGCTATTCACAATAAGAAATGGACCCTACTATAAACATACTTAGCATGGAAAAATACTTTTCCTAGGGCAATTTATGAATTGACCTACAGCTAGTCAATTTGTGGTGAAGTCCTCTCTTAATACTGGAAATCTGAATAAAGCATCCTTCTTAAGGTGGAAATGTCATACAAGAGGTCGATTTTCAAGACACCTAAAAATAATTCTCTACCTGCTATGAGACTGGTTTGAAAGTGTTGACAATTTGCTTTGAATTGAACGGCTTATCCTAGTTGAGGCAGAGTCATCATATTAAAAGTAGATTTGCAGGATACTTGGAATGGTTTACAGTCAAGTCACCTAAGAGTCCTCTCACCTGAAGTTGTGTCGCCCGAAACCCGAGTCATGTTGCCCGAAATTTTAGTTATGTCACCTGAAAAAAAGAGTCAAGTCACCCAAAGAAACAAGTACTAAAAACATTAGAATTTCAGACTGTGAATAGGCAATAAAGTTGAGAAATTTTTATCACTAAAGCACTCTTTGTTTCTAACAACACCAGGAAGATTCTGAGAGTGTTGTTCATTCCTTTCAACAAAGGGAAACTTTGTTCATTTCTAACAACAAAATGAAGCGTTGTTCGTTTGGTATATAATCTTTCTTACTCATGGACGTTTCGTAAGCTTGAGAAACTTTATCTTGGTTTCTAACAATACTATGAAGGGAAGTGTTGTTCATTTCTACAACAATAAATGTATGGATGCAGTGTAACATAAAAGTAAAGTTCTGTTGTGTCTATTTGTGACTTTCTTAGCAATAACAGATGAAAAAACCTGGTAAACAAATGTTGATTGTCCTGTTTGAAAAGTTGGTAAAGGGTCAATGCTTCGTTTTATTGTTAGACATGAACAATGCTTCCCTTTCTTGTTAGAAATGAACAATGCTTTTAGAATCATTGCTCAAACATATTTGTTAAAAACCAAGAAAGAGTTTCTCAAGCCTACAAAATGTCAGTGAGTAAGAAATGAGTACATACCAATAGAATCGTTACTCAAACGTACTCTGAAATTCTGATGTTTCTGATTAGTATTTGTGTCTTTGGGTGACTTGACTCTTTTTTTCAGGTGACATAACTAAAATTTCAGGCAACCTGACTCAAGTTTCAGGCAAGATGACTCTTGGGCAACTTGACCTATCACCCTTGGAATATATGTTGTGGTTCATTATCATACATTACAATACCCGAAAACAAAAGAAAATAAAATTTGAACCAAGGACAAAATTGAACCACAACATATATTCCGCAAGGGTTCAAAATGTTGTTGATTTGAATTGATTCGACTCGATATGGGCGACTTGTCTCGGTTGAAGCTGACCCATCCAACCAGAAGATGATTTGCAAGACACTTCGAAGAGTAATATTTGTAAACAATTAATTATAGTATACTGCTCAAGGGCTGTCCGGTCTCCAGTGACTGAGGAAGTAAATTGATACAGCTGAATATTTGACACCTAGTGATACCCAAGGTTGATCAACAGACCATGCACATACTTTATAATATAAACTTTAAAGCTAGAACAAGGCCCTTGTTGGTATATGATGTATTTAATCCATACTTACCACGTGTTAAATTTTTCTTGTTATTAGCCAAAACTTCGATGTAATTAACAGCACGACCATTACCAAGAAAAGTTCTGTCGTAATAATCAGAAATTGTCAATTCTCTCTGTTCCCCATTGTCTATGCGAAAAACGAAATGATACACGCCAGGTTTAAGAGCTGGACAGACACAAAAGCTCCCGCCCTCTGAATTCCACTGCTCCAGGTTATAAGTTGAATATTTTAAGTTTTCCACGGTAACATCGTCGTTATCAAAGTGGTCCTGATATATGTCCTCCGCTCTGCAGATCAGAAGCTCTACGCGTTTCACATCTATTTGAGATCCCGGCCTCCAGGCAAATCCAGCGGTGATGTATCCATTTTCCATCTTTTTTAATTAAAAATCACTATATCGATTAAGGCGTTTACTCAAAAGATATTCACTGAGGAAGTGACATCCCTCCTGGAAGACCATTGTTGAGAAATTCTTTGCCTTGCGTAAGTAATCTTACTTGATAAATCTCGTGACTTTTGCTGTCATATTCCAGACTCGTTCCCAAGGCTCCGCAGCATCTACTGCTAAACGGAATGAGTAACCAACATGGCTGTTTCTGCGAGGGTTTCGATGACGAAATGCACACAATTTCGTTCGCTTTTTAAATTGTTTTCAACAAGCACGTATTGTAGAGCAGCGCCAAATTTACGAAAAGAATCGTACGAAGTAAGCCACGAATCTATTTTTACGGAGGATCATGCAGAACTCCGAAAATCTCTCAAAAAATTAATCGAGAAAGAAATAAACCCCTACGTTGACGAATGGGAGAATTTGAAGAGGTTTCCCGCTCATGAAGTTTTTAAAAAGCTGGGTTCGGCCGGATTCTTTGGAGTAAACAAGCCCACTAAGTATGGTGGATTAGGATTGGACTATTCTTTTAGTGTGGCCATGGCTGAAGAGTTAGGTCAGCAATTTTTTTTACCTTTCCACTGTTTGGTCTCTGATCTAGTGTCTTCTCAACAGCAAGTGAACATATCTCAGTTTTGGTTGCTGATGAAAATGTTGTGGTGTATCTGATAATTATCCTCCAGCCAATGATTCTTTATTTCCCATCAGCCTCAGAGCCTGGACATTCAACAAGGGAAGTTATACATGCATGTGGTTTGAAACAGAGATAGTTTTGAAGCAACCCTCATGTATTTATACAAAACTCTTGACCTAATTCAAGGCTGTAGCTAGACATTTTTGAGGGGGGGGGGGGCAAGGAAGCAAGGGCCTAAAGTATTCCTCTAGAGCTCCCATTGGCAAAGGAAGTAAGGGCCTAAAGTATTCCTCTAGAGCTCCCAGTAGCAAAGGAAGTAAGGTCCTAAAGTATTCCTCTAGAGCTCCATTTGGTTCTTGGTGCTCTCTTTAAGATTTGCCTGGGATATTTAACATGGTGTGGAGCCTGCTAATCCACAGATCACTATGAGAAACTATATTTTATTGTAGTCAGAGAGCCCTGCCCAGAGTACTATTCCTCTAATGTTAGTGCTGTGATAAATATTTAAACAATTCCAAACCTGTCATCAGAGTGAAGTAAGCAGACTGACTCCTTAAAATTCTTGAAGTAGTCTCTATCGAATTGTCTGAAGTCTGTACCCTGTTATCAAACAAACTGATAAAACTTTTATTTGAAAAATGCAGTGCTTTGCTTACGTGAGAAAAAAAAGTGATGTATGTCAAGCCAATGGGAGAGTGTATGTTAAATTGAAGTGTCCAAAACCTTGATTTTGTTAACAACTACAACTATTTTAATTATGGGAAACAGAAAGGAGAACAAGCACTAAAAACATGGAAGTGTAGAGGTTTACTTTCTCAACAGGAAGCATTAAATGTGGGGCTATACCCATGGCCATAGGAGTTCAGGCAGACATGGCAACTCCAGCACTTATCAGGTTTGGTAGTGAAGAGCTTAAACAAGAGTTTTTAGTTCCATCCATTGCTGGTGATGTTGTGGCCTGTCTTGGAGTGAGTGAACCTGGGGCTGGATCAGATGTTGCAAGTATTAAAACTACAGCTATTAAAAAAGGAGGTTTGTCATTGAAAGGAATTAGGCTTCAAAATTAGGATTGACATTTAGGAGTGCAACTCTTTCTTGTTGGAATGGTTGTCACACACATCCCCCTTACCCCTATCACCTCCAAAATTTATCAAGTTTCCCAGACAGTTTTCCAGTAGACTATCAGCTAACCCCCCTTTTTGACAAAGTCCATTGCCCTAGTCAAAAACATAATTGCAGAAAAATTGATGTTAGCCAGCTGCAGGGAGCTCTTGGAGTGATGTTGATGCACCACGGGAGCTTAGTGAGTGGGGAACTCATAAAGTAGGAATTACAGACTCAACTCAAGAGTTTGACCATGCATGGCTTAATGATAGTGAGGTGTCAAAATGTAATCTCAATTAGACATAATCAAAGACATCCCTTATCTGAATTAGCACTCAATCTTCATATCATCGCAATTCATGGGTTATCTCACAAAATTAAATCATTTCAAATTTTGAGCTGCACAATAAACTGGAAATCCATGAAATGTTTCAGTAAAGATGAGTCTTATGAAAAAAACTCCTTTGAAGGGCAGGTCAGTCCATGGAACCATTGCAAAACAACCTTTGCTATGTGTTTGCTTGTAATTTGTCTTCTGAAAAATAAGTCATGTAGTCTTTGCCCTTGTCTGATAACTGAAGAGCTGCTTGTTCCACCACAATGCCATTAAGCAATAAAATTATAAGGATATGCTTCAGGGCTTGATGATTGTCTTGTGGGACAAAACCCCTGGACCCAGTTGTTCAAAGAATGGTTAATGCTATCCAAAGGATAAATCACTATCCACCTGGTGAGTGTTAACATAACCTATTGTGCTATCCATGGGATAATGATTTATCCAGTGGATAAGGTTATCTTTCCGATGCTGGTTAGCAAAATTGATAAAAACTTCTTTGCTAACAAAAAGAGCTTCTAGCGCTTCTGTCTGTCCTGGTTTTAGCAAACAAATTGTCAGAAGTGGCAACAAACATTCCTACAGGTCATCAGACAATGATTAATCTGCAGTGTTGAGAAGAGTTGACACATCCATCCAGTAGCCAATTATATTTTTGTTGTTGTGCGCCAAACATGGAGGTCAAACTCTTGAGCTTAATCTGTAGTCCCTACTTTTTGAGAGCCTCATTCATAAAGCCCCTGCAGTGCATCAAGAGCTCCCTGTGATGTGCTAACATCAATTTTTTTTCTCTGAATTTTTTTTTGCTTGTGTGATGGAAAGGACTGCTCATAGTCTTGTTTCCCAGGACTACTCATTTATGCCCTTGGAGGAGAGGTACTGTGTTGTGATGGTGAAGTATCTTACCTATGAACATGATGCAATGACCAAGCAAGGGCTTAATTCCAGACCTCTTAATTTTTGATCCAGCTAATTTATCAGACTGCTTACAGTCAAAACATCTTGACTGAGTCAGCAAGCTGAAAATGGGACAAAGAATCCTATATTATGGAATTGTTTATCTTGTTAAGGTGACCAAGAGGGGTTACAATTGAACTATGTATAATAGACTGGCCTGAATATTGCTGTAAGTTTCCCTTTTAATTCCATTTTTTGAGGAACACGCAAGGTTTTGCATTGTTATTATATTTTATTGTGTTTTATATTTTAGTTTACTTCTGTTGATAACTACAGAAGCAACACCTTTTACTTATAGAATGTAATTATATAGCCATAGCATGTAGATACAGGTGTATAAATTTGTCAATCTACAAGGGTATGCCCTTGCAGAGAAGGCCAGAAGGAAAACTGATATGGGTGTATCCATAATTTGTTTGATTTAGTATTTCAACAGTTTATTTAAACTGTCTGTGTCCACAAGGCTTCAAATGATTTTTTTTGTAACAGATGACTTTGTCATAAATGGAAGCAAGTTATGGATTACAAATGGTCTCCAGGCAGATTGGATTTGTCTTTTAGCGAATACAAGTGGAGGTCCACTGCATAAAAACAAGTCTTTGATCTGTGTTCCTCTCAATCTACCTGGAGTCCATAAGGCAAGGAATATTAACAAGCTTGGGATGCATTCATCAGACACTGCAGAGCTGTTCTTTGAGGATGTGAAAGTACCACAGTCATACCTGATTGGTCAGGAAGGAATGGGGTTTCCCTACCAGATGTTTCAGTTTGTTGAGGAAAGAGTTTTTGCTGGGGCTTCAGGTATTATAGGATGACCAAAAAACAAAGACAACATAAGAAACTCCTATTATCAGTCTAGAAAGAATTCTTGCTCACGTTTGAGAGAGTTTAAGGCTCAAGATCAGGAACACTGTATATTCATCACGTACTGAAGTGTGAACCGTAGAGTAAGTTTGTATGGGTTTTCCAAGTTTCTGAAACTTAGGGGTTACCTTTAGAAACTCTTTACAGAGACAAGGTTACATTATCAACTCAGTTGATAAAACCAAATTATCTTGAGTTACCCCTTGCCAAGGCAGGGCCACAGTTTATTTATAATTATGTCAGTAATAATAACAAGTCACATTCATAATTACAATGGTAAAAATTATGATATTACAGTTAAATAGTAATGATAAAAGTCATAATGATAGAATTATTTTTAGTTATTATTTTAATGAACACTAAATTTTCCCTTTCGTGGTAAAAGGATATGATAAATATAAGAACAAAAGTGAATGGACTTACTAAGTAAAACTTTTATTTTATTTAGCTGAGGGTTTTTATCAAAATAATAGATACCTTTTCTTGTTATTTATGTGATATATTTTTTGTTTTAGTTCTGTTGTCTATGGAGAGACTTATTTTTGAAACTGCCACCTACTGCAGGGAAAGGAAGGCATTCGGCAAATCCATTCTAGACAATCAGTATGTTCACTTCCGCCTTGCTGAGCTTCAAACTGAAGTTGAACTGCTCAGGTCACTTGTATATAGAACTACAGGTTGGTTCTTGGCAGCTTTAAATAATTTTGGTTAGAGTTTTACTACTGTCATAGAGGGAGAGAAAGCTATGCTTTGGTCCAATTCTTTAAATTTAATAATGATTATATAAGAAACATGTTATCATACCATAAAGAGGAACTTGTGCTTCTTATTAGGCTTATTAAGTGTGTGTGTGTGTGTGTGTGTGTTTCTTTTTTTTGTTTTATCCTTGTTTCTTTTATTGAATGTTTTTTCTTTTTTTCACTTTGGGTGCCATGTTTGGACTCTAGGTCTCTCTGTTATTACAAATTGTTATCTTAAGTTGTTGACTAATTTACTTTTCTATGCTTTAGATCTGTACATGAAAGGTAAAGATGTCAACAAGCTAGCCTCAATGCTCAAACTCAAGGCTGGTCGCCTTGCACGAGAGGTACCTGACTCCTGCCTGCAGTTCTGGGGAGGAATGGGTTTTACTTCAGAAGTGGAAGTCAGCCGCGCTTATAGAGACAACCGTCTTTTGTCAATTGGCGGTGGAGCAGATGAAGTGATGCTATCAATCATTTGCAAATATATGGGAACATTTCCTAAGGACCAGCAATTATTTTAAGTTATATCATGATAGTTAAAAATTTGTACATAATATGGCCAGGATACTAAGTCTGGCATGATTGCTTGTCACAAAGGTGTATCTATTCCTGCCATAATGTGACATTTGGTTTTATTTTAGTTAAGAAAATTGTATATTTGTGGCTTCCAAACAGTATAAACAACACCAACCACTGTCAGTGGAAGGTCACAAAATTGTCAGCTTTTTTCAGTATTCTAGTACCATTGTATTGCAAAGTTATGGTACCTTTGGACTATAACATATTATTTATGTGAGTTATCCTGGTAATCTTTTCCTTACAGTTGACATGAAGCCAGTGGTTCCCATAGAGCTATCAAAAGTTACAGTGTACCTCTGATATAATTCTGAAAATTACATTGTTGGTTAAAAGATGCTTGCACAATTTCTCTCCTTCTCTTGACCCAATTTGAATTTCCTTTATGCAACAAATTTTTCAGAATTGTTTAGTTAACGCTTTGATAGCTTTCATTCATCTGATAGGTATTATATGATAAAGTGAATTATAAATGCATTTTGATTGTTTCTTATTTATGATCTGTTGGAGGACAGATGCATAGATGATATCACCTTTAACATTTTGTTTTTTTTTATCATTTGAAACAAACAACTTTTCTGTTGCCATGTGTCTGAACAGTAATAGATCACAGAAGACATCAAAAGGTGGTACGAACAACAGTGACAAACTTGGCTGCTCCCCATTTGCCACTTTTTTGTTCTTACCACATTTTGATGATCTGTGATCTATTACTGAACAGACACACAGCAACATGGAAACTAACTGATAATTGGAAACAGATCATATTCATTTTGTAGAGGGCACTGTTTAAAGAATTTGCTCAAAACAGTTTTGAGAATGGTTAACCCTTTCACTCCCATCAGTGACCAAGACAGAATTTCTCCTTACAATATCAATACAATACTGAGCAGAAAAGTGATGAGAATATAGAAAAATATTAATTAGGGGATTATTAGTTGATCCAATGCCAAATTCTCCAAACTAACATCACAAGAACTGTATGGGAGATAGTAAGGAGAATAACTAATGAGATCTTGGGAGTTGAAGGGTTAAGCCTCCATTTGGTTGGACATGTGTAAATGTGGTAGGAAGTTGTGCATATTAAAATTGAAGACGACGGTGCGTCCCATTTTAGTACCCATGGCCACGCCATTAGTTTGTTTGTAGTAGTTACCACCGAATGAAAAGCAATTATGATAACTACTGCAAACAAACTAATGGCGTGGCCATGGATACTAAAATGGGACCCAGCTACGCCAATCTTTTTGTAGGTTTTATCGAACATCAAATTTTTAGCCAATACCACGGCCCAAAACCTCAACTCTACGGCCGCTACATTGATGATTGCATCGGCGCTACCTCCTCTACCAAAGAGGAGCTCACTCAATTTATAACCGCCGTCAATTCCTTTCATCCGGCTCTTAAATATACCTGGGAAATTTCCGACACTTCTTTGGCTTTTCTAGACATCAAAATAAATTTCAATTGAAGGCAACGGCTTATGTACTAGTGTTTACTACAAACCTACAGATTCACATAGTTACTTGTTGTATTCATCCTCACATCCATCACATGTCAAGAACTCCATACCTTTTTTACAGTTTCTCAGACTTCGTCGTTTATGTAGTGACGACTCTGATTT